GAATTTATATTTGACTCGAATAGTAATGTAATATCATTGATTTGAAAAAAAAAAAAAAAAAAGAAGAAATTACTGATGTATAGGTAATAGAATCAACCTTAACAAGTTACAAGATTAACCCCATTATAAAAAAAAATAAAAAAAAAATGCAGGTCTATGGTATTGCCGGGGGAGAAAAGGATTACTCAAACATGAGACAAACCGAGAGTAATATGTTCACCACAAACAAAGTTTTTGGTGAATATGAAACAGAGGACAAGGTAAATACCAAAGCTATTTTCTTTTCTTTTCTTTTTTTGTCAACCAAGTGTAATTTTTATGATCAAAGTTGTTTAAATTGGTACGTATATGACGTGTATATAACAAGCCAAAAAGAGCTTTCAATGTTTTATTTTAGTTGTACACTACACCCCAAAATACAAAGGGGTCCCCAAATGGGAGACAAGCAGTGTCGTGCGGACCATGGGGAGGCAATGGAGGAATGCTATTTGATGATGGGGTGTACACAGGAGTTCGAGAAATTCACTTGACACGCTCTGGGGGTGTCGTTTCCATTAAAGTTTGCTACGACATGACTGGCCAGGCCGTTTGGGGAAACAAAAATGGTGGAAGTGGAGGATTCAGATTGGACAAGGTAATAACCATTAGAGTACTAAGTGACATTGTATTATGTTGAATTAGTGATCATGAATTTTAAGTTTTCAGACTAACTGTTTCAAGTGTGATTCAATCAGATAACTTTGGATTACCCAGATGAATTCTTGACTCAAATAAGTGGATATTACGGATCAACGATCTTTAGAGGACCTATTGTGGTCAAATCACTCACTTTTTACACCAACAAGAAAAAGTATGGTCCTTTTGGGGATGAGCAAGGGATTCCATTTACCTCTACCCAAAAGGATGGCATTATTGTTGGATTTCATGGGAGAAAAGGGTGGTTCTTGGATTGCATTGGTGTCCATTTCCTAGAAGCGAAATATTCACTACCTCGGCCTTACTCAACAACGGCTGACATGAGATATAGTGATCAGGTATGCAAAAAAATAAATAAATAAGTAAAAAGATCCAACATTTTGATACGTTCTTGTTCTCTATATATTGAATGAAAATGTCATCCATATCTTTTTGTATTATTTAGGCTTACACCACTTTTCAATTCTAGTAATTTATCTATACACTTTGATGCAAACATTAGGCTTACTTTTTATTAAAGGGTATATTGGAAGTTCAATTCTCTACCGGCGGTGTTCATCTAATTCATCATGTTTTGCCATGATTTTGGTTCTTGTATTATTCAATAGAAGGTGGTACCTGGGCCCACAAAGGGCCTAACTCCGTGTGGCCCAGGGCTTCTACCGGCGGGGATGGTGAAAGAACCAGCCCCATGTGGACCTGGGCCTTGGGGTGGGGATGGTGGTAGCCCATGGGATGATGGAGCCTTCACTGGGATTAGGAAGATTTTCTTGATTAATGGAGAAGCCATTTATGCCATTCAGATTGAGTATGATCGGAATGGCCAATCAATGTGGTCCGTTAAACACGGAGGCAACAACGATGGTAGCTGCCATGTGGTAATAGTTTTTTTTTTTTTTTTTTTTTTCATTAATATATTTTCTTTAATGAAGTTTCACATTTTAATATTTTAGAGGCATACTAAATATCATCTTAAAGTCATAGTTAGTACGTCTAATGCCAAATTTTATTTATAGCAATTATAACTCGTGTGTCACCCTTGTTGTTTAGTGAACTTAATAACTATTTGGTTTTATCCAGATACAATTTGAGTATCCACGCGAAGTCCTCACTTGTATAAGTGGGTATTATGGGACAATTAGGGGAGATGAATACAAGAAAGTGGTTAAGTCTCTAACTTTCCATACCAATCGAGGAAGGTATGGACCGTATGGGGAGGAAATAGGCACATATTTCACATCTGCAAAGACTGAAGGGAAAATAGTTGGATTCCATGGAAAGAGTGGCTGCTATCTTTATGCTATTGGGGTCCACATGCACCACTGGTTGAATGATCGGGTTGAGAAAGGACCTATCAAAATGATGCTTAACAAAATTTTCTCTTAATCTAAGAGCTCAAGAACCTATGGTACTTGTGAAGAGTTATTTGCAAATTGGTAATAATCGACAAGTAAGGTAAATTATATATAGAAGAAAACTATGGACAAGTTATGGTGTAAAATATGGTCAACCGACTTTCATATACATTTACACCAAAAATAAAAATGTAAACTAAGTATTGAAATGTAATGAAGTTGTATGAAGGAGCAATAAAAGTATATTTATATGGTTGCTATTTAAAAGTATAGTGATATCAAATTAATATATGCACTCAAATATGCATAATACCACATAATATGAATGGTACTGCATCAGTGATCTTTATTAGCATGTTACTTAATATACAGGCTAAAATGTTCATTTTCAAAGAGAAACTCTGAAATTTAGAAATAAAGACGTAGACTTTCTTTTTTATTATCCACTATTATATTAAAAAAGTTTAACAATCTTCCACGATCACGGAATTTAACCACCAAAATGAAACTTGATTTTGACACGAAAAGTTCTTTCCCCAATCGAGCAAAAAACGACAGTAAGTGTCGTTTCCTTGCGCTAAGGAAATACCTTTTCTAGATAAAAGGACATTTCCGCCAAAAAAAACTGCAATAAGTTTTACTGACACAATGAACGATATGTCGCTTATCCAATAACAGAGCTTTTCTATAAGGGAATAAGGGTGCGTTTGGTTGGAAGGAATAGAACGGAAAGAAAATGCTATTCTATCTAATTCCATCATTTGGTTCCATTTTTACCTTCAGAATGAGTTTTCCTACGGAAAGCTCATTCACTCAATTTGAGTGAATCGTGATTCACTTGTTCAACCAAAGGAAAGCCTTTTCCATTCAGCCCTAACCATTTTTTTCCCAAGATCTCCCCGATTGAGAGAGAGAAAGCCCTAGCTCCCTACTCCCTCGACGAGTTCGTTCGTATCAAGCTCCACCGGATCTCCTCAGGCGGCCGCTCCTCTCCTTCGCGATTCCTTTTCTTCCTTCCTCCAAATCTCTGCGTCTCCTTTTCGTTTCAATCTCCTCGTCTGATTCGGATTTCCAACCGAAAGGAAGCGGTTCGCGCCGACGTTGCCCTACACGTTTCCCTAAACGACAATATGGGCCACGAATCGGGGTGTGCGGAAGCAGTTACAGAGGAAGAGGTGATAGACAAGGAGGCAGATGGTGATGAGGATGCTGTGGGCCATTCATAGACGTTTCCTCTACTCTGGCCGCGGACCAAGGATGCCCCCGTACTCAGATCCTTCACAAGAAAGAAATTTGGGAAAAATTCAATAGAAGTATTGTTGTGAGAGCAGAATTGAGAAACAGACAGCAAGTTTTGTTTTATATTTGGTGCACACAAAACATCATTTAACTGAAAGGTAGTATTTGGAGAGATAAGCATAGTAGTTCCAACATGGGTGATAGGAATTTTTTTACCATTGCCAACCATAATGTCTTCATTACCACCATATTCAGAGTGAGTGGATAGATTATGTAAATCCAAGGTCATATGGTGTGATGCGCCGGAGTCTACGACCCAGTTCGCATTGTTTTCAGAAAAGGACTGTGTCGTGAAATTGGCTTGAGGCCAGTGTGGCGCATTGGAGTTAGGGGCTGATCTCGAGCGACACACCTTGGCGCTGTGACCAACTTTGTCGCAAAGTTGACAAACTGGACGGGGTTGTCCTCCGTTGGAGTAGGGACGCCAAGCTTGGTTGAAATTTCCGGGATAAGAAAAGCCTTGTTGTCTTTGAAAATTATTTCGACCGTGATTGTTTGAAGAGTTACGGTAATTGGGATTGTATCCACCAAAATTCGGATTGTTGTGAGGTTGAGTATTGTGTGGAGCAGCAATAGAGTTTCCACCTTTTCCCTTTTTGTTGGGTTGCTTTTGATTAAATTGAGCAGTAGGAGATGGAAGCTCTGTCTTTGTAGTATCACGTTTGAGGCTTGCTTCTTGGTCAAGAAGTTTTTCATGAAGTTCTTCAAATGAAATTGGCGATTCTCGGGCTCAGATAGCGGCGGCTAAGTCCTTGAATTCAGGAGTGAGTCCATTTAGCACATGAACTACGAGCTCTCCATCTGTTAACTCATGACCAATCATGGCAAGGTCATCAAGAATGATTTTAATGGACTGCATAAATTCAGACACAGTTTTTTCTTCAAGACTAACTCTTGTAAGAGCACCCATGAGTCCGATCAAGCGTGTGTTCGACCTATTAGCATAGGTCGTCTCAAGTTTGTTCCACGCTTCTGCAGAGGTATTATAGCGTGAAACAAGAGGGGAGGCAGTACCTGTGACAGCAGTTTGAATAGCAAGAAGAAGGAGGCGATCTTGTCTAATCCAGAGTTTGTAATCTGGATTTTCGATGGTGGTTGTGGATGCAGTATCTTTCTTGGTTTGCGGTGGGCAAGAGTGAGTTCCGTCCACAAAACCCATTAGATCATAGCCGAGGAAAAGATTGGTCATTTGAGAACGCCACATAGAGTAGTTTCCTCCTTTGGATAGCTTTTGGGGAATAAGTGCAGCAGTGTTGATTGAGATAACTTGAGAATGATGATTGTCACCAGTCATGACAGTCACAGCACTGGAATTTGTAGAGGTTGAAGAGTTATCAGACATGTTTTGTGTAGGAAGAATCGACAACCGTTTGGAAAGAAGTGAAAGGGATCTTTGACTTAGAGTCAATAGGGCTCTGATACCATAAACGACAATATGGTGATGGAATGGTTTTTGCTATATTATTCACTGACTTTGTGTACGAATATATACAATTACAAAGCTGATTCTAAGGAAACAAATATGGTAATAAATATGTACAGCTGCTATGCTATAGATAAACCATTGACTTATATTTACAATGAATGCCTTAAATCATGAATGAGATAAGGTGAATCACGATTGGTTTTTTGATTTATCATTCCCTTCATAAGAATTCAGGTGCTACGCTAGTTTTTCCCTTCATCAGCGAAAAATTCTTGATAGAGAAAATAATCCATTTATGAATTCAGGTGCTACGCTAGTGTTCTCTATTCGTTTCTTTACATGTACTACAGAAGCACCTTCTCATTTTCTAAGCGGTAGATAAATATATGATCATTGATTATGGGCAAAACCTGGACCTATGAGAAACCTCCTAGAAAACATTGATTTCACTTGACAAATTTGAAGTTTAAACCCAAATTTGAGTGGCCAACTTGTACACCAGCTAAGGTAAGGTGTTTTTCTTGTATTAGAATTGTGGTTTCATGCTTTTTGATGAGGTTTTCGTGGGCTTTTTGTTTGCGCTGGTTAGAGATGAATTCTTTGTAGATAGACATATTTTTAGTTGGTTAGTGTGAGTTATTGTTGAATTGAGTGGGTGTTTCTCTTGCTTTGATCTGATTTAAGACATGATTTGGCGGAGTTTTGGTTCATTTTTGCTCAGTTCAAATGTGTTTTAGTGAGGTGTATGCCATTTGTTTGATGAAATGCTTGGCTGAAAATTCTGTTTTGGTTGTCTGAACACCTCTGATTGCGAGCGGAATATCTCTTAGAGTACTTGTTGTTTAAAGCTGAAATTTTGGGTATTGAAACTAGACACTTTGAACATGCTGTGGTCAAACTTATAGCACATCAAGTTTACCAAGAAGGATCCACTCTCCACTCTATCCTAAGAACTATTGGAATTCAAGTAGAATCTTGTTTTCAAACTTCACGAGAAACAATAGTATGTGTTTGAAATTATTTTCTATGCTAAATGGATTGAATGACTTGTATGATGGTGATTGTTTTATGAACATATTTGTCAAGGTAAATCCATTGTACCCCTAAGTGTCAATTTAAAATGAAGTGTAAAACATGGTTTAGTATTTGGGTAGGCAAGGGATGCAGGAGGGACCAGCGGACCCAAAATATAGTGGTGAAATTCCTTGAGGCACGAGGTTTTCAAAGCTGAGTAACCACTCGACTGAAAAGAACAGGTTCCGAAAACTCGCGGCCTATCAAGTACTAAGCCTATTTTATACTTGACGGGGGCCCAGGACTGTTTTGACTAGAAATGTTTTTAGACTGAAATGGGTATAGACTGTTAAGGGTGCTACTTACTAGGCAATTGCTTATTTAGTTTTTTGTGATGCAGAAAATGCTGAGGGTGAACAGTAGGAGTTGCTTGTTGCTGCCGGATAGTTCATATGTTGCTTTTGATATTTTGATATTTTGTTGCTTTTGATAAACTTTTGATATTTTGAGAGAATGTTTTTGTTGGGCTCTTGATGATATGAAGTACTAATGTTTTGAAACTAAACATGAAGAAAAATCTTTTTGATTGAAATTGTTGTAAATAGTACTTCTATGTACCTACTAATGTTATAATATGTAAATATTTGTTTTCTTTCAAACTCTTCTTTAATCAATAGAATGAAGTAATGTCCACCAACTTGACTAGACAAGTCTTATTGTGGTGTCCTCTAGTTGAGATGGAGGGTGTTACACTATATGTACACGATATGCTGTAATTATATCCCCATAGATTGTAGCGTACATATAAGAAAAATATAAAGAAATCGTATTTGCACTTACGTAGGTTAAAAGGCTTTCTTCTTCATCTTCAATATCCCGAAAACAACTATTCTTCACTTTGTTAAATTGTATTAACTAGAAATTTACTTCACTTGGCATATGACTATATTTTAGAATTATATATGTAGTTGAATGATATATTGTCATTTTTATTATTGACAGGGGCCAAAGTTATATTTTTCAGGGAACATATAATGGTAGCTGTTAAAAGTTATCATATTTGAGCTTGTGATAATTTATTATTACATAAAAATATCAAATATTATTTTTTTTATAATTGAAATATAGTTTTTAAATTATTATCCTTCAAATAAAAAGTTTTTTTCAATAATTAAATTATTTTTTTACTATTTTAATTAATTAAAATATTTAATTATTTATGATTATTAAAAGGGTATTTTTGTCAAAATACAGTTTATTTTCATTCCATTTCATTGTCAACTAAACAACATAATCCTTATTCATGTATTGATTCTATAACTCTAATCAAACAAAAGAATCAATTTATGATTCCAACACATTCCAATTCCATTTCATTCCATTATCATTCACATTACTATTCCTATTACCATTCTGTCATTGCAATCAAACACACTTTAAGTACGTCTGAATTTGTTCTGCTGTGGATAGCTCGCTTAGTTTTGAAGCTATTTTTTTATTTTTTTTTATTTTTTAAGTATGCTTGTTGGAATGGTCTGATTACAGAATCGAATGTGAGTACAGAAAAATATTTATTGTGTTTTGAATTTAAAATTTTAAACCATATCTATCAAGGTTTATTTGAGCGCGCGCGCACATATATATATTGCCAGTGGAATAGTGTGCATAAAAAATTCCAACTGTCCCATCAAATTACAAAAATGTGAGCAGAATTGATGTAACGACTTTTAGGATTCCAGTGGAGCCAACAAATCAACTTGATTCCTGGTAGGATCCACAGGAAAGAAAAAAAAAAAAAGTTTGTTCCTCGCATAAACAAAAACTAACAGAAGCTAATAACTTTTTTCTGCTATGAATTGGAAAGGAGAGGAACGAATTATGACGTTCAGTGCGTGTCCATTTCTCATGCAGAAATGCTCCATATATTCGACAGTGAGAGAAAATGAGAATAAAGGGTTGAAGCAGTTTTTCTGCTCCCATTTATGGATTCGCATATTTCCTCAAATAAGCACTAAAGAAATATAAAAGACGATATTGTCACAGAAAGAAAATCTCTGACCGTCAGAAAACACAAATGCTTTCTAGCTAGCAAAATATATTAATTATATAGACTCGTTTCTGTTAGGAGGATCTGATGCTTCTCTATTCAACCCTTGCCCTTCATAGTGCACACCCGAATTAGCTCCTTCCAGCTTCCATGAATCTATTGTTTTCAAGTCTTTGCCAACAACCCAACATCCTTTTCTGTGTCCATAAAATTCCACTCATTTCTGCCCTCTCCTCTCAGTGCCACATCCATACGCAGACCCTCCAATTCCCTAGCTTTCTTCAGCTTCTCTGCCCACCTTTGGTCTCTCTTCCAACATGGTATGTAATGTAACTATGGTTTACCAATATATTTGAACAAGTTTTCAGATAATTGACTAGTGTTGGTGGAAATTGTTGTTATACAGAGTGCTTGTGAGGAGTCGGGGAAGAAGCCAGTATCAGTTGGGCCATGGGGAGGACAAGACGGGATCTCTTTCGATGATGGAGTCTACTCCACGGTGAGGCAGGTTGTGATTGTTCACGGAACCGCCATTGATTCCATTCAGATTGAATATGACAAGAAAAACGCCTCAGTCTGGTCCGAGAAGCATGGCGGTCGCGGAGGCTATAGAACTGACAAGGCAAGTCACACCTACTTTACAAAAAATGCTAATTATCACTCGTTGGCTTCTTCTCTCTCTCTCTCTCTCTTTTTTTTTTTTTTTTTTTTTAATCAATAAGAAGTTGTTATGTGAGACTTGTGTGTGACGCCTCCCGCCTTAGTGGCAAGGTGCCAACCTTATACTATTACTAATAAGTTGAAATGTTGTTTAATCTACTACTTTTTACTTGACTATCACCTCGTTATATCACGTCCACACACAGATAATTTTTTTTTTTTTTTTTTACCTCCGAGTTCTCAACATGTTCTTTTGTTATATTAATGTTACATCTAGCTAACACTTTGTAATTTCATATATGGAAATAATCCCCGAAACTTATCTTAACTTATTACAGTCCGATACTTTTTAGTAACACCGTACCATCCCTTTCTTAATACTTAATACACAAACTTTTGTTCTACATTACATTACTTCTGCAAGGGAATTTTTCCTACGCGGGCGAAGTAGACACCACTCCCGTGAACCCATGACATATCCGCCACCTTACATCAGCCAATCCATCAAACTGAACTACTATATAGCTGGCTGTTTATCTATGTTACCTGCAACACGAGTAAACTGATAAGCGTATGCCCAGCAAGTATAGACATGCAATCATCTTAAAACTAGTGAAACTGTATAATGTGTCATAATGTAGGAATGCACACGTGAATATGTTTCCTTCACAAACATGCTTTAATAACTGTTTTCTGTCTTTCTGTTCTTGTTACTGTGGGCATGAGCCCCTGCTTAGCTGCCTGGTCTAGCCGGGATCTCTTACTCTTTGAGATTTTCTCCCTTGGGAGGCCGACGACCCATCAGTCTTTTAACTTTACCGAACTTTGGCTTTACATTTCAAAGTATTTTAACTTTACTGAATGCTATGCAACGCTTTCTCTACGTGCACATGCTTAACATGAGATGCATAATGCTTCATGCATACCTTAAACTGAGCATCAGGGTCATTGTTTGTTGCCCTTCTGCAATCTAGGGCACTAAGCCCTCAAATACTCAATATCACATAAACTTAGAAATATAAACAATTTCATAGTTCTAAGTCTATCCTACAATTTACTCGACTACAGATAAACATATATGTCTAAACTTACAAATAATCTGCTAGTATTCCCACTTGTTGAGAATTCTTCCTTCTTGCTTCGGTTTTCGTGTCAAAACCTGTGTCATGGAAATCGGTATTAATTTCCTATTCTCAATATCAAAATTTCTTAGATTTAGATTTATAAATCCAATCTCAAACTCATTTTTGAATTTTATTCCTCTAAGCCGAACTTTCTAGCTTAAGAGGCAAATTCCACAATTTGTGTGTCTCGATTTCTGAACCTCAATTTACTCATTCTTGGATCTTAGAACTATCATTCATACTCGAAAATTGAATCCACAACTTAATACTTACTATCTAGGTTTAGAAAATTTCGGCAGAATTTCGCCCAGCTTTTCTCGTTCCCCAAGCTTCCAATAGCTCGTTCTAACTTCCGATTTCAATTCCTGGAGTCAAGATTCATAATTCTCAACACAGATTCAACCTCAGAAATTGAACAAAATACAAGTTTTTTCCTCATCTTAAGGCTCATGGATTTTTAGTCAAAATCCACCAAAATCTCGTTCAATCGTTTCAATTCCTACGCCATTAGACTCATATCACGGTGCTTTATAAAACCTCAGTTTTGGTTTTTACTTTAACGTAAGTTTTCTGAGATTGGTTACTATTCATCCAAATCAAAAATCATAAGATTTACTATGAAAAATCTGAAATCTTACCTCTATGAGCTAAGATTTCCCGCTAGAACGCCACGGGTTTTGATTATACCGGACTGAACGAAAAAAATTCCAACAAAAACTCTTGATTCTCTTGATTTCTCTTTGATTTCCCTCTCTCTCTCTCTTGGTTCGGCCACTCTAAGGAAAGAAAAACACATTTGGCTTCTAATTCCTTCCTAAGCCTTTTTAAGAAACAAAATTAATTTTTAATTAATTTTTTTCCTATTACTTTCCAACTAAAAGACAAAATAATAATTTTTTTATTAATTTTTTTTTTCATAATTTAATTCTACTAATTCTACTTAAGTTGAATACTTAGAGACATTTGGTTCATGAATTAGAATCATGTGATTAAAACTATTTTCGATTTACGTGTATTTTTTGTGAGAGAAAACACTGTAGAGAACCATGAACTATGATTCAAATCATGGTTTGAATCCTCCAACCAAACATCCCCTAATTTGAGTGGTTCCACGTTCATCAAATTTTTCTTGTTGAGACCCAACTTTTTGTTTCTTAAAACGAGTCTCTTTCCGGTACCGATAATCTCCTCCCTCGGTACAGGTTCTATACTGCATTTCTGGATTGCCGGGTACCCCGGGTCAAACTTCTCATATTCAACCCAATTCTTTTGGGCATCTCATTAGTCAATTTCTTTTTCTGAAATTTTCATTTCAATCGATCCAGAATTGCTCAAAACGCTTACCCTTGCGGTACTAGTTTTTGAGCTATTTCTCACTCTAACTGACTCGAGAAGATCTTGTTTCAGGAACTATTGCTATTTTTTTTTTACTTCTAAGATTTCTGCTGTTTTTCTAACCTGTCATTTGGTCGTATACCAAATTTTTCAGTTTTTCAGAACTGAAATAAAACTGCTAAAATTTCTATTTTTTCACTGATATTGTACTATACATAACTGATATTTACGAATTTCCACTGAAGAAATATTCGTATTATAAGTTTACACATTTCAAAAAATTTTGTTATGTACATAAAATTTCTATACAACATTCTCTCGATCAAGTTAAAATTTTACTAATAATTTTTAAAAAAATTACGGTTAAATACCGGACTGTCCGGCATTTGACCAAAATTTTTCCAATCATTACACTGCGATTCTCAGAATTGTCGCTCATGCATAAAATATTCCTTAAACTTGACTAATAGCAAACAAGGGACTTGTTTATATTCCGGTATTTGACCAAAATTTTTCCAATCATTACACTGCGATTCTCAGAATTGTCGCTCATGCATAAAATATTCCTTAAACTTGACTAATACCAAACAAGGGACTTGTTTATAAGTGAATTCTCCAGATTAATAAATGAATTTTTAACTTTTTTCTTTCATTATTGAAAAGCTTTTAACTAGTAACTAGCTATAGATGTAATATTAGTAGATAGGTACCTTTATTAGGATCATGTCCAATTACATGAAAACTATTGTAAACAAAGATATTATATTTTATACAGATCAAGCTTGACTATCCAGATGAGTTTTTGATCGCAATTAATGGTTACTATGGCAAGCTATCTGAGTGGGGCCCAGCCATAGTTCGATCACTTACGTTGAAAAGCAACAAGAGAACGTACGGCCCATTTGGTGCTGAACAAGGAACGTGTTTTTCATTCCCAATGAGTGGAGTGAAGATCGTTGGGTTTTATGGCATGGCCGGTTGGTTTGTTGACTCGATTGGTGTCCATGTAAAGCCGGTTGATCAGAAACAGAATGAGCAGACCCGTACTCTGTTTCACTCGCAGAACTACATTGTTAATGCGACGTCGGATAATGCCAACGGTTTTTCAGTGATACAAGGGAGTGTTGGCCAGAGCTATGATATAGTTCTTGCTGTGAGACAGAGATCAGATGATTTTGGCTCTAAAGAATCTAGTAAACCTTTACCCAGCAAGCTCTCCAGGCAAGTTTCTAGCTCCGATTCCGATTCTGATTCTGATGGAAAATCGAGTGGTGCCAGAAACAAAGATCCCAGAAAGAAGGTATGGAATTCTCTCCTTTTTTTTTTTTTTTGTTTTTTTGTTTGTTTGCTTTATTTATTTATTTATTTTTTTTTTTTGCAAAAGAAAACTATTAATTATCATCATTGGTGAATTTTACTAATTAAAAATGGACATGTACGACTGTCTGAGATATTGGTAATAATCAATGAGTCCCAAAATTAACGCTAGAAAATATGTAATTGGTTGAAAAGATGTAATGATGATCACCGGTGACCTTAAATGTAGCGTTGCTCTTAAAAAAAAAAAAAAAAAAAAAAAACAAATCTCATTTAGTATTGAATGCTTTTTACATCTTAGAGTTCCACGAAATTTTATTTGATTTGCATACTACTTGATTGCAGATCATGCCCGTTGCGGGGAAGGTGCCCCCCTCGGTTGTCGAAGGTGCGATAAAGTACGGGCCGTGGGGTGGTACTGGGGGGACAGCATTTGATGATGGAGCATATACGGGTATCAAACAGATCAACATATCTCGTAACGTTGGAATAGTGTACATCAAAGTCCTTTACGACCGAAATGGTGAATCTGTATGGGGAAACAAACTTGGTGGAACCGGAGGTTTCAGAACTGAAAAGGTGACAATATAACCGTCTCATGATGATATTTATCAGTTATCACAAGGAAATATATTAGTCAAATGCTTAGACTTTCATGGATTCATATACATGTACATAATCAACTGTTTCGTGTCACAAATGTTGCAGATAATTTTCGACTATCCAAACGAAATTTTGACCCATATAACAGGCACCTTTAGCCCTGCAATGATAATGGGGCCTAATGTCATAAAGTCTCTGACATTCCACACCACCAAAGGAAAGCACGGCCCGTTTGGAGATCAACAAGGATGCCCTTTTACTTCCAAGCTGAAGGAAGGGAGAATTGCTGGTTTTCATGGGAGAAAAGGGTTGTTCTTAGATGCTCTTGGTGTATATGTTATAGAAGGGAAAATGATGATGACTCCTGAGATAGATTCTTCTTCAAAAGCAATAGTCTCACATGGTGACCATCAGCAATCAGCATTATCTGAAATAGACCATCCTCAGTGGCCTAACAAGTTGATTCTTACAAAGCGAGGACCAGCGGAAGAGGTAAATTTAGAATAGTTTCATAACCAGCAATGTGTTGCATACTTTCTAACTAATCATAAATTTACATGACGTTCACGCGTACATGACACTTTTTAGTAGTTGAAAAAATACCGCTTGTAATTTTTTATTTTTTTCCCCAATAACATAGAAGGTTGCTTGTGGAGTGGTAAAAGAACCTTCTTCATGTGGACCGGGACCGTGGGGCGGGAATGGAGGGAGGCCGTGGGATGATGGAGTGTTTTCCGGGATTAAGCAGATATATTTGACGAAATCCTCAGAAGCCATTTGCTCAATACAGATCGAGTACGATCGAAATAATCAATCAGTTTGGTCTCCCAAGCATGGAGGCAATGGAGGCAACACAACACATCGGGTATGTATAATACCATTTCAAACCCAACAAACATCTTACACTTACATCTTACTGAATTTAGACATAAATTCAATGAAAGAACTCTCTATTTTTTTTTTCCTTCTATTTTTGCAGATAAAGTTGGAGTACCCGCATGAGATCCTCGTTTGCATAACTGGCTTTTATGGCGGCATTACTAAAGATGAGAAGGCACAAGTACTAAAGTCATTAACATTTTATACAAGTCGTGGGAAGTACGGTCCATTTGGAGATGAGATTGGGACATATTTCACTTCTACGACCACAGAGGGAAAGGTGGTGGGTTTACATGGGAGGTGCAGTTTCTACTTGGATGCCATTGGAGTTCACATGCAACACTGGCTGGGAAATCAGAGAACCTCAAAGTCCTCTCTCTTCAAAATCTTCTGAGTGGCAATTTTGTGTTTCCAAAATAAGATGTGACATTTTCTTGGATTTTCCCATCGAATTAGCTGTCCGTTGAAATTTAAAATAACGAAAAACATGGGTGTAGTTTTAAAAGATGAAATAAAGCCTTTGGATAGCTGGTTTTGATCCACTTTCAATTGAATTAAGAACTTTGGTTTGATTTTTTTATCAAAAAAAAAAAAAAAAAATGGTTTGAATAATTATTTGGTTGAGTTTCGACGGGGTACGTGGCTCTCTATGTTGAGTATTCTTGTTACAGTTGTTACTCCAGATTGGTTCCAAAACCGTTGTCGTATCACAATTGTCTCTCAATTTCTAGTTCTTATTTTTAGAGTAGGAGAGATGGAAGAAATTTGAGGGAGAATAATTAGATTTTAAAATGGATTGGACTTTTATAGTAAAAAGTTAAAGGAAATGAGATAAATATTTTTTAGAGTGTATAATCTGGATAAAAATCTAAATTCATACACTATAAAGATAAGTTTAATAATTTTCTCAGAAATCAACCTGACCTAATACCTTACATGTATGTGATTATGTTTATATTTAGATGATATGTGACTCGGTATTATTTTCAAATGAAAAAAGAAAAAAAAAATTAAGAGAGGGAGAGAGAGAGAAACAACAATCAAGTGAGGTTAAACAAAGTCGAAATCATTTAAAACGACATGTTAAAACAACAGACGACAAGCAAAAAAAACATACTCTTATGCTTAAATTTCTAATTCTTATTTTCAAATGGAAAAGGAGAAAATTAAGAAAGAGAGGGCAATCAACTGAGGTTAAACAAAGCCGAAACCATTTAAAACAACATGTTAAAAACAACAAACGACACAAAAAAGAACATATAGTTAACCTGTTAAAAACAACAAACGACATCACAAAAGAACGACACACGTTACGAAATTACAATGCTAATTGAGAAGACAGTTATGAAAATGACGACATGTATAAAGAGCTAGAGAAAGAAAATATTTAAAAATATTTTCCCGAGAGAGGACATCGTAGAGTGGAGACACAGGATGACGACATAACATAGAACAACAATATTTAAAAATGAAATGTGTAAAAAAATTGCTTATAAACTACAATCGATCGCCGAGGAAAACAAAGATCGCCTGAAATGACTTCATGGATGCATCATACACAAAGAAACAACGACGTAGAAAACCACAACACTTCGATAAAACAAGAGCAGATAAACTGACATCAAGTCGTAAAGAAACGAAGTCGTAATAAAACTTCAATGTTGAGAAACCACACCCCCCAACAAAAATGACACAGAGAAACCATGATATTCCATCATACAGTCGGTCGTATAAATGAACAATTCAGTACCTAAAAATAAGATTTTTTAAGGTAAAATACCTAAAATACTCCCAATATTTTGTTAAAATACCATTTTTGTCTATTTTATTATGCAAATGCCCAAAACGCCTCTAGTGTTTACAAAAATATACCCAAAAATACCCCTTAAAGTAATTATATTTTTAAAAATATCATGATTACTATTTTCAATTTTTATTAAATACTATTTAAAACATTCCTAAATTAAAACATTAAATAAAATCAATCTCTAAAAAAATGAAAAGATCTCAAAATAATTAAAGTATTTCTTTAATTGGTATATTTATTTAAGAATTCTTTAAATTTTTATCGAACTCTTTAGTTAAATCATATTTAAAATAACATTTAATATAGTTTGGGAAGGGTAATCATGATATTTTTAAAAATTAATTACTTTAAGGGATGTTTGGGTATGATTTTATAAACACGGGTATTTACATAATAAAAGGGGTAAAAATGGCATTTTGACAAAATATAATAAGTGTTTTGGGCATTATTTCTTTTTTGTTTTAAAGAAGCAAAAACTAAAAAACAAGTAGTAATCATCTTAGAATCACAAAACAACAACTTACAAGAATGACATATTGTAGGGAAACGACATCTAGAAACTATAACACATCATTAAACGACGGCAAAATTTGCACCAAAATAAAACGTAATGCCTACAAATGAAATCCGAGAGAAAGGATTGAATATTATAACGACACGACAACATCATTAAAAATGTTGAAAAAATATCTATCTGAAATAATGATGATTGAAAAACGACATCCAAATGGCACTTCATGTCGTATAAAAATGATAGCAAACAAAAACGACAAGCCATAGAGAGATTAAATTACATATGCGAACTACATTGTGGGGAATGTAACATAAAAAAAAAAATCGAGGATGGAGAAATGAGGACATCTTATAGAACGACATCAAAACATTCTAAAGAGACGACAATAATATAATACGACATGAAAACATTCTAAAGAGACGACAATAATATAATACGGCATGAAAACATTCTAAAGAGACGACAATAATATAATACGACATGGCAAACAATTTTTCTTTCTTCCCCACCCCCCCTCCCACCCACATTGTTTCTAACAAACAACATTCTGCATACCTAAAAACGACAGCTAAAATTAGGTTGTAAACACACGGCATGAATGGAAACGACAACATAAGTTGTAGACAAGCGACATGAGGGGAAACGAGAATATACGGACGACATGGTCGTACAAAACAAATTAATAGTAAAACATCAAACAACAGTACAGGAAATGGATAAAATGTTGATACCACGTAACCAAATAGGAAAATTTCATTTTGATGCCCTGTCTTATATCGAAATATACATTTAGTATCTTGTATTTTTGACAATTTTATGCATGTACCTTAACGTTTTGTAAAATAGTTTTTTGTACAAGAAGACAATTTATGAGATGTGAAATGTCAAATTTAACCTTACCATTAATTAATTAGAAACTAAAGTTTTCAAACATATTTTTAAAAAATGTTTTAAATATAATAAAAATTGGGAGTTTTAATTTTTTTTTAATTTTATGGTTTTTCAAATTATTTTTAATATGTTTTCTAAATATAAATAAATTAAGTAAAGGGTACAAATGACATTTTATGTCCTAAAAACTGCGTCAAGGTATCAAAAAGTATTTTCTAAAATGTCAAGGTACTTACATGAAATTATAAAAACACAGAGTAAAACTTTCGATATAACATATGATACTATAATGATATTTCTCCTAACCAAAAATGATGTAAATCCACAACATAATGAATATGATGGCTGCTATTTGACCCGCCTCTCCTTTGTCTCACAATTCACACGTAGAACATAGTTTAGGGTGCAATTTATAATATTTTGAAGTTTAGGGGCTAAGTAGGATAAGAAACATAATTCAAGGACCCAAAGTGAAATTAATCTAACAAAAAGTTTTTAAGAAAAAGCGCGAGAGAGTTGAAATTCATTGGTCGACATGACATAATGAAATTCCAATTCTGAAAGCCATCATGTGATTTGAAACCAAGCCATTGAATCTTAAAAGGACACTCTGGTCCGTGGTGGGAGAGAAAACAAAACAGGGGTGAAAATTGCATGCTCAAAATTAGTAATAAAAAGAATTCAGTTTTTATTTTTTACTTCCTGAATTTTCGTAATTTTAATTTCAAATTCTTTAATGTATCACTGCCTCAGTATTCTTAAACAGTAACGTTAAAAAAAACCTTCTTCGTTCATCAACAAGAGGTGTGTCCTAATGTGTCTCCTTTCATAAAAATAATTAGGGACCTTTGGAGAGTCCATGAGCTAGGCTCCATTTCTACAAGCATATAGGTCATGGTTTCTTTCTTTTCCTTTTGACTTAGTGGCTCATATATATCACGTAATTAATTCTAAAAAGGAAAAAGGAAACAAAAAAAAATCAAATATGACACTTGAACAAATATCGTTCATTAAGAACCGCAAATGTAGATAATTCATTTCTCACTAGAAAGATTTATAGAAATAGAAAGAAGAAAAGAACTTTCTTTATTTAGAGAGCTAGTACTTTATTTCTGCATCATAATTAAAACACCATGAGTACTAGTAGTACCCACGCACGCACGCACACATGTAATTAATCAACTTTTGAAATTTTGCTAAAAAGTTTCGCCTATCTTATCAAGGAGGCAACTAATTAAAGGACTGATTTAATAATAAATTACACACAACAAGACAATTGTTGGTTAGTTAATTACTACTAAATTTGGTAGCTTGACACATTGCACTGAATTAAGTGAACAATGATTGTTGTAGTTTTCAGTCTTTCATAAATATTATTTCATGGCTAAGTCAGACTCAGATTATAGAAGATGGTTCCATTACATATCTAGGGCTATAAGTTATTGAAATGGACCTATTACCTGCACATCGCACTCGGAACTCGTGAAATTGGTCATCATCCATGTGCAACTTGTGCAATCTCTGGACAATCCCAAAACGAATGGCACCAAACAACAGCAAACCGAACTGATATATATCATATATTCATATATTGTGGTTACGTAACCCCCCAATAATGGACCAATAATACATATGGTAGATTCTCTTCTCAGTACCTAAATTATCTTTTGCATGGGGAGGGAGGGGGACGGGGACGTGGCACGTGATGCGAATGGCCTATATTGTACTCTCTCACCTTCGTGGGGCTTTGCATGATATGACCCGGCCCGTTTTGTTGTCACATTTCAGTTAATACTTCAAGTAAAGAAATCAGAACCAAACTAAAATCTTGTGATAATTGAGATGGTACTTATTTTCAATTTCTGCATTGCGGCTGGCGTTATTCACATATATTATATCGTTAGTCTACTGATGATAATATTCCGAATTATCCATTGCACTTTGCACATATACTTACATGTTCACACGATATATACATCCAAGCAAAAACGTACTAGTCAGTCCCTCAATTTTCTCTTGTTGGTTTCTCCTATAAGGAAATTCCCTCGAGGTTTGAAGTAAGCACTTGACTAGTTTGATCCCATTATTTGTGTGAAGAAAGACATAAAAAGATCAAGTATTAGAATACGTACAATTATTATGTGACATGTGAAAGGCACGTACCACAAGTATCTCACATAATATTGATCATGTATCTATCTAAAATTTTCTTCATATATGCCACTATTAGATCTTTCCAGTTGCCAAACTTCCTAAATATGGCAATGTGAATC